AACAGATCATGAGCAAATGTCGATCTTATAGAATCCAGATTTTTAAATGCGCGAGAACGCGCGTGGAAATTGCTAAACTCACGAAAGCTATTGCATGAAAACAAGTCCGGTGACCCCTTCTTTTTATTGTTCCAATATGATAATAACGTCGAAAGGAATCATCAGAAAAAAAAAAACTAGAAAATTCTACGGAAGGAAATTTGCGAGGTGTGAAAATTGCCTTTTTTCTAGATTTTCTGAAATTCCGCTCCGTAGAATTTTTTTTAAATCTATGTGCATTTTCCTTTACAAGAAAAAAAAACACGGGGTCACCGGGTTAGTTTTCGAATTATTTAAGCCACAAGCTAAAAAATGCGTCTGAATAAGCCTATGATAGCTAGTGACGAAATGACACTTATTTTTGGATAACCAATTATTATAAAATTCAACCCTGTAAAAGTGTTCAACTGGCCTTGGTCAGTCTTTTTGTTGTATTCTTTCAAAGTTACAAACCATCAAAAAGATGAAAACTGGTACCAGCCACCTTAAGTGGAAGTTGTTTTAAGGACAATTTATGCTCTATAATCAAACTAGACATTCACCAAGTGCCAGAATAACTTTGGCCCGCAGTTATTTGCTCAATCACGGATCACAGACAGGTAGATTTTAATCGGTTTCGTTTCATCGAGTAGCGCTCGTTGACATTCATAGTGCTGTACTCTTCACTGAATGGGTCTGAATGAACTGCACTAGGCCTCCTTCCTTTTTCTCTCTTTGTTTCTTTTTGCGTTTGTTTGTTTGTATCGATTTCACTTAATCCTGGGTGCCCTTCACGCATACTTACCTTTAGTATAGCGTGACGAAATGATATTTGCAAAAAGATTAATTGACACATCGACATGTCACGTTATTTTTTCATGTAACACTAAATAACACAAAGTTTAATTAAACATATTAAATTAAATTAAACATATTATTTAGAAATAAAACATTTCTAGAAGATCGACTGAAAAATTTCAAAATGACGTCGGTAATATGTTGTTTTTTTAAGCATTGAAGCTCACTTTCTTCGGCATATCCTTTGATCTAGCCACCCCGTTAGGATCGGATCATTTGATTGGTTCATACAGCAATTACACGGCCTTTAAATTCACACCCGATCTTCCCTTTGATCAAAATTTTAAAGTCGCGATGATGACAAAGCAGTCCGTGCGAAAGAGAGGGAACTAGTTCGTTTTAGATTTCCTCGATCATGGTTGTGGAATGGATATCTTGCTTAGCAAAAAGGTAATACAGACATTCCCAAGCACTCCGCTTCGAACGTGACAATTTACTACAATTAGAATATTCATGTGATGTACATTTGCTGTAATTTTGTTTTCATCATCACTCAGAGGGGAGTATTTAAGAAAAGATATGAAGACTTTAACTTGCGTCAAATCTCCTTGGTGAATATTGTATAATTTGAAAAGCTAAACACCGATTACCGAGTTTAGAGAAACTCAAATCCATGACCCGTATTGCGAAATGTAAATTTAATTATCGATTTCTGACGAAGAAAAATGCTTATGAAAGAGTTCTTTACGAATTGGATAAACGGAGAAATTCATAAGAATAATAACCAATTTTACAAACCCAATCAAAAGTTACTCTTCCTTTATTAGTTTAACTTCAGTAACAAGTCGAACGAAGGAACTTTGATGCATATTTTTCTGAAACTGAACGAGAACAATTCCTGCCTACCAGAGCGGATCGCGGAATCGATGATAGCGTGTCGGTTCTTTGTTTGTGTGGACATACTTTTAAGCTGAACTCTCGTGGTTTGGAATAATTTAGACACAAACTATGTGTTTTAAATACATAACGTGAAACGATTCCCGGCGAACAAACATGATGATGGCATATTTTAGCAGTTTGTGAGTGCGTTCTGATTCTCTTTGCAGAACACAGAAGTGTCGAGTTCTCTTGTTTGTTGTTTGAGTGTTTGGAAGAAAGAAACACTCTTGTGCGAAAGCGTAAATCAAAAGATTACCTCAATTAATTTGAGCATCACAACAGGATGTTTGTCTCATGATGTCTTGTGATATCGGTTCGGCATATGTATATCGGTTCGGCATAAGTATGGTTGAGTGCTTTTAGTTTATTTACTTTGTAAATTTTTATTGAAATGCTTAGTATGCCCGGAAAGCTTTGAGAGCCAGAGCCAAATTGAGCCATTAGTAAACAGGTGACCTTATGATTTAGTAACACATTGCTAGTTGGAACTATACTGACTGAGAAAATTTTGGTCCAAGAATTTGTTGACGTTCTCCACGCAAAAATTCGCGCTATATTGTACCCCAATTGACTCCGCCGCTATCAAATTTAAAATCAGGGTTACTTGTGTATGAATAATTCAGATTTCATGAACGAAAAACTGTCATAGATTTATGAAGTTTTCTTCAATACGTATTGAAAATTGAGCAAAATAACAGGATTTTGTAACTTCACGTGTAGAGTAAACGGGTTTTGCCGGTTACTGAAAGACCAAAATACGCACAATTTAAAAGGCCTTCGGTTCAATCTTGAACGTAAAACGCGAGTATAAAATTTAAGGCTGAAACAGATTTATTGCTTTTGTATGGAGTGCAATGTAAATTAGCCATGACAAAAGCTTAAATGAAAAAAATATGACGTTGACTATTTCTTTGTCTTTCTTCGTTCGTAGACCAGCAGACAGATCCGGGGAGGATCTTGATATAATTTTCGCCAGATTTAAGGTATTTTGGTTCCAGCTTTGTTTTCAATGATGATCACGTGAAGTATATAAGTCTTATTTGGTAAAAGCATTAAAAGCGATTTCATTCTCGTCCCTGATTGGTGGGGAAAAGATTCCATGGATTGGCTAGAATCATCCTCGTGCTTAGGACAGTTCGCTGGAAATTGAGTGGGTCCTTCAATTTTAACAGCTAAATTATTAGAGCGTTTCAATTGACAATTTTCAGTGTCTGGCCACAATTATCCAGTTTGCTTGTAATTTTACGTACTTCTGTCATTTTACAGAATCTGAAGGCATTTGAGCGTTTTAACCATGCGGTTCTTCACCAAATTTGTTACTATGGTTACTATCAAGACTTAGAAGAAGGAATCACTTGTAAGTGGTAAAGGAGGTAGATTGCCCTCCCCCTCCGTTCAAGCTGTAAAGTTTTAAACGAAATCAAAACTTTGAAACTGAGAGATGCCGGACAAAAGAATTCTTAAAAGGAAAACGTTAGACTGATGGTGAAAGCTTTTAAATTGATTCGTTTCTTAACCTTTAACCCCTGAGAGTCACTAGCATCTAATTTCTCCTTACAATATCAGCCCTGAATCACACATTAAGGTCAGGAGAATCGAGTAAATGATCACCACCTAAAGAAGCTCTCGATTGTTAAACAAATTCCCCTTGTCAGCACCTTAGGAAATGTATAGAGAACAGTATGGAGAATATGCATGCTGATGTTAGGGTGTAAAGGGTGAATGGATATAAATAGTGTGATGGAGTAAGCTTCTCTTCTACTGTGGTAATAACACACTTTTCCATTTCTTCATTCAGCTCTCTTTCTTTTTCAGTGTATCGTCAAGGTGAGATTGGATGTTACTGGTACGCTGTCCTTGCTGGAGCGCTTGAAGTGCGTCAATCGAAAACCGGAAAATATGAGGTATTTAGTTGAACGAGAGTATGGATAATCAAATTCAACGCAACATTTTCCCTAAGTGGTTTATTTGTACGCACATACAGACCCATAACTGGAGACCACAAATACGCGTCGTATCGTTTCAGATTTGTCTGCAATATTTGTAAACGGCTGAGATGCCTTAAAAAGAATTATAAGGTTAGTTTGAACCAACTAACACTAGCACTGAGCGAAATTAGTTTAGTTGCGTCCTCTAGAAGGGAACAGTCGAAGAAAATCAATTGTTATGAAGATTGTCTATTTTTTTTTTCTTTTTTCGATTTCGTAGGATGCTGAAGCCATTTGCACTCTCCGCCCCGGACATTTTTTCGGCGAATCAGTACTGGATGACTCCCCCAGGTATGTCAAGGAATGGTTATGCGCTTGTTTGTGCCAGTCCACTCGCACAACCCAACCTCTCCCTCCAAAAATTCGACGAGATCGATCTTTCAACTAACAACCGTGAAATAAAAGAAAAGTTCTCTTTGACGTTCTTTCTTCCTGATTTCCTGATGAATTTGTTGTATTTTTCAGACGCAACACAGTCATCACGAGCGAGTTTTGCGAGCTTTTATTGATAGAGAAGAAATTCTTCCGTACTATATGGGAGGTAGGTTAAATTTAATTCCTGTCTCATAATATATTTAACTACGCCAAAGTGTTTTTCAAAAAAAATGTAAAACAACTAATTTTGGATTTAATGCTCTTTTCAAGCGTAACAAGCAATTTCTGGAGGATATTATACCAAGTCCTTCATCTTCCTTTGTCGGAGAACACAGTAAGTTTT